GATTTCGATCGAATAGTACCTACTTTGTTTGAAGAAAAATTGATTATTTCAATTCTGCACAACATTTACAAAACGTAGTACCAGTCATAGTGTGAGGCAGTACCACAATATATAGAGTTAGTACCAGATATCCTTTCCCTAATACCACTTGTAATGAACACATAAGAAGACCGAATTTCCGTCGCAAATTATGCTTATACGACCCATAAACACTCTGACATTAGTTTATATAATATTTGATATTTGGTTAATTAAGTTCAATCGTAAATTGGTCACGAACTCAACACACTAATGGAAAAAGATCTTAATATACTTCAACACATTGAATGGTACCGGTTTCTATGGAAATAATACCTCTTGTTCTTCTACGTAGTACCTGTTATTGATCGATTAGTACCAACTTTTGTGACGAAAAAATCGATTATTTCAATTCTGCTCAACATTTACAAAAAGTAGTACCAGTCATAGTATAATGTAGTACCACTTTATGACGCGATAGTAACAGATATCATGTCCCTAGTACCACTTGTAATGAACAAATAAGAAGACCAAATTTCGGTCGCAAAAGATGTTTATACGACCCATGATCACTCTGCCATAATGTTTAAATAAGATTTTAAATGTTTTAGATTGAGTTCAATCGCAAATTGGTCATAAACTCGATACACTAATGAGAAAACACTACTACTAGACTCCATTCATTGAATGACGCACTTCATCTCATAGAAATCATCATACATGACTACTTCAAATTCTATCTATATGTTTTCAATTCTACTTTTTTTCATCCAAATCACGTGTGAACGATCCACGTGTCATGGTAGACATAAAGGATTAAAGAAATCGCGTTTTTTTATAATAGTCCCGATTTTTGGGATAATCCATTAAAGAAATCGCGTTTTTAATTAATAAAACCGTTACAATTTTATAAAACCGTTACAATTGTTGGATAATCCATTAATAATTGTTGGATGCGCAAATTAACTAATTATTCAATGTTTTTGCTGGAATAATCCATTAATTAAACCGTTAATTTTTTTTTTCATTTCATTAAACATTTTTCTAATAAGATAATTGGATTTAGTGGTATAACCAAACCTCTTACAATTGCACAATAAACTAATAATAATCATAATAATAATAATGATAATAATAATAATAATAATAATAATAACAACAACAACAACAACAACAACAGTTTCAATAGTTTTTTTAACATAATTAATAAGCCAAGATCAATAAATTTATAAATATGAAATTATTTATTTTATTTTATGCAATCAACTATAGAGTTTAATACTTTTATGATCTTTATTTTTACTAATTTTAAAATTTTTAAAATGTGATACTATTATTTAACATAATTATAATTTCAATATTATCTAACTAAATATAATTTAATCATTTGTGCATGTGCACATGATCAAATACTAGTTAATATTTATAACCTACCTAACAATTATTAATTATAATATTATATTTATTTTATTATATAATTAATAAATATATTTCAAATAAATATTAGTAGAAGAAATTGAGGATGTATACAATTATTTCAGTTAATTATTTTTATTTTAAGCACATCAATTAAAAAAAAAAGTTTAAAATATAGAATTAATGTTTATTTTTTTTTCAATATAATTTTTTAAATTTTAATGAAAAATATAAAATTATGAATTTTGATAGTACAAAATAAAATTGATAAACATGATATATCACGCATTAAATTGGTCAATATCCTATCATAGTATTTGTTTTATTCTTTTAGAAGACATACATAGATTTCTCCATAAATAATGTAATCTCGTTTGAACGGTTAATCATATTGAAATTTAAAATATTTATAATGTAATTCGTTGCATTTTGGTTCTTATACTAAGTAGCGTAAATAGAAACTCGTGTTGCGTAAGCTATTAGAGTATAAAAAATTGTTTGTTAGAAATTTAAAAATAATTGCATGTAATAAAATGAGGGAGATTTTATTTTGGTATGAAATGTTCGAATTTAAATGGTATGGATAGGAGTGTATTTGAAAATTTTGAACATAAATAAGTGATATGAATTTTATTTGGTATGTGTATGAAAGACGAATTTTAGGTTGATATGTTATAAAATTAAGGTGATATGATTATCAAATTTTAGCATATTTATATAATAACTTTCCATAAGCTATTGATGAGAAAGGCAAGGTAAGACAAAAAAACTTAAAAAATTGTGAGATTAGTAAAATATAGATTTATATAAAATATGTAATGGATTTTATTGTGTAGTCCAATATTAGTTTTTAAATTTAAAAGACAAATAATTA